GGTGTGATGTTTTATCGTATTAGTTAAGCTTTTGGGACTACAATTTTGAAATCAGTAAGGCAAATCATCCAAGTGCTTGCTAACATACACAGCTGTTTAGAATTTCCCATAAGATTTTGAGAAAATCTAGACTGCAACGTGCAACTCCAGAACCTGAATATGGATCCATGCACGCAAAGCTCTTGTGCTCTCACTGGGAGTATCAGCACACAATTAAATGAAAATATTTAAATTTACTAACTGCAGTGCTGAGACAGTAATGCAAGTCTTGGTTTGCAATGTAAGAAGATCCACTTTCATGCCAAATACACATGAATTAAACTCACCTCGTGCATTCCCTGAGAGGACTTCAGTTTAAAAAGAAATCTGCTCCATTAGACTCTGGAGAATAACCTCAGAGAACTAACTGTTGCTTGCTAATTGAATGACATCAGAAAGCAGCCATCAGCTGCATTCTGCCAATTTCCTAGACGCTGGAGAGTTTTGGTAAGAACTGCATTAAATGATCTGTCATCAACCGAGTATTAATCTCTCAGTATTTTATTACTCAGTCTTAAACAGGGCCTTCTGGAGGGCAAGAGTTATTGGCAATGGGAGGCAGTAATTACAAAGTGAGGTACAGTGCAGAAAACATGACGAGTTAAAACAGTGTCTGGGGACCGTTTAATACTGTGCTGGCAAACAGAACATGTTATAAAGCCATTTTAGAGAGAACAGATATAATGCAGGAATCTAGCTGCTAAACTACAAAAAGGAACCCTGAAGCAGAAAATTATGGTTTTCATTTCTCTCATTAAGGGATAACCTTTCAGGCTATGCTCCTTTAAAGGAGCAGTAGATTTTGCCTATACAGACCACCATGTGGATGCGCCGAGCTTCTTGCACATGCTGCAGGACCAGACATGTTTTTTAAACAGAGTAATCACTGTACACGAGTCGCCATGTTCCATGGCCTGCCTTTTGGGTGCCAGGTGGCTGATGACAGTGGTGAAGGTGCTCCAAGTAAGAGCAGAGTTAAACTGAGGAAATATGCACTATACATGTGCATAACACTGACATAACTCTGTTGTAGTTAGGAAAATATTTCAGTAAAGTGAAAACAAAATCACACTGAATTATTACGGTTCAGATATCCCAACCTGAGCCAAGTATGAACCGATACTATGTATTGTGAAGGGATGGTAAGTAAAACTAAAATCAATGTGTACAGGGGATCAGCTGCCACAGGGCAGGGCCTATGGCTGATAAAAAGGTAAGTGGCTTTGGAAAGCATCCCTGAATTATTAGGAAGCCTCAACCCATGAAACACAGAACCGACCATTTCAGGCCACATGATGCAGCCTGATGTTCCCACAGCCTTCATTATTGCATGACAAAGCATGAGTAATCACAGACGAGTTTTGTTCAAGTGTATCAGTGCACGGAAAGACCAGGAAAGTACTGGAACATTTCCCTGAACTGGCTACTCAGTGCAAAAAATTCTCCGCCTTGAAGAACTTACGTTCTTCGTAGGTAAAATGGGCAGATGGTGCTGGAAAGAGATAGATTTAACCTAATAAAGGACCAACAGCAATGTACTTTGCAAAGCATGATAGACCTAAATGAAGAGCATTTGCTCATTAAATGGTATTTGAAAATGCATAGTGTAACGCAAAAAAAAAAGGAAAAAAAGTCATTATTGTTATTATTATGGAAACTGGAATGTTTCTAAGAAAAAAAAGGTAGAGACTGCATATTGACTTGGGATAGACTATTGCTTTCTCACTCACTGTTACTTTTAATATGCACTTAGCAACTGAGTTACTGCTCTTGAAATGCTAGTGTTTAGGTATAGAACAAGTAAGCAGAATGTGTAACTTTCTATTAAGAAATCATGCAACAGTTTAATATCCTTGTGTCACTATTTGTAATATTATATTCTTCAAGTTTGTGAGAGCAAACCAAGAAAATGACAGCTAGGAGTCTCTCCATATGCATCTGATGTCACGTACTGCGATAAACGTGAAATTGAAAACACATCCTCCATTTTTTCTTTTGAATGTACATAGCTGGTTTTAAAAAGTAAAATAGTTCCATTTTCCCCAATCATTATAAAAGCTATAACTTCAGTTCAAAGTAGTTATCTTCAATTGTACGTTGTTCCTGAATTTGTAGCTGGAAAGGTGAAGAAAATAAATGGAAACAAATAATGATGGAAAACCAGCTAGTGAAAACTGTAGGAATTGGTTTTCATATAAATTAAGTATAACACTTTGAATTTTGTAAAATATCAATCAACTTGATATAAAAAGCTGATAATCTAATAATTTATGGGGAAAATGTTTTGATCACAGTTTCTTAACATGATGGTAAAAATACAGATGTGTTCACATGTGAGCATCATTTAGAATTGCTCATAAAAAGCCTGACTAGTCACATAACCTCTCAATCACCCATATCCCCATTTATACTCTTCTATTTGAATTGTATATACAATTAGATCCTGTCCCTGCTGCAAGCTACTCTGCGTGGGCTGACCTCACCGACTGCTCAAGACTCCCTGAGTTCTCTGAAACTCCAGACAGGAGAAGTGTGGAAGTACCAGCAGGCAAAGGCTCAAACCAAGACAGGCTCCCCCAGCATTTTATTCACCTGGAAAAAGGGACTTCTGTTCTTATATCAACAATACGTAAGTTGTTGTCAATTTCCTCACCTGTATGATCAAAAAGTCTCTTTCAAATTTGATGGCTCTTGGCCATTAATCAAGTCCTTAAACACAGCTGATGGATCACCTACCCCTAGAAAGGCATGAGCACGGGTGCGTAACCTCTCCATGCACTGACAGAATAGGTCCTGAGTCCATACTGGAACTTAACAAACAAATGGGATGACCAGAATTTACAAGGGAAATTTCTAGCCTATGTACTATTGTCATTTACAGTAAAAAAGAAAGAAAAAATATTCATCTCTAGAGATTATTTACCTCGCAACCCAATAGTGCACTTGGAAATTACGGTACCCTAAAACAGCTCTGATAAGCAAAGATGAAACTCAAATAGCTAAAAGGGAACTATCAGATCTCTTGCTTAGTATCAAATCCTGTTTTAAAACTTTCTGCTCTTAAAGACATCCTGTTTATATATTTAATCAATGAACTGGACGTAAGAGAAACAAAAATTGCCTGCAGTCCTCTGTAAAATGCGTATTTGTGAAGCTGGTGTAATTCAGCTTTTAAAGTAAACAACTAAACAGTTTGGGAAATCCCCCAAATTCCTGTTAGATTTTGTTTCTGTTTGTCTGTGAACAGTTTTCTGATTTTTCTGGGAATGTACCACGGTTCAATGGTAGGCATTTAAAAAAAACAAACCCATAATCTTTTTCTTTTCTGCTCTTTCCTTACCTGGATGTTATCAAAGATTTCAGTTTGATAAGAGACTCTGCCTCCAACAAAACCTTACACCTGTGTTAGCTCTCCTGTCAAAAGGAGCTTCTAGATAATGATGTGAGATTCAGGGACCTCAGGGGGCTGCTTTTCTTTGTTTTGTTCTGTTTGTTTTAGGATCTTCTTGTTTTTAAAGATCAATTGCAAGCCTTCTTCAAAGAGAACAAGGACATGGGACAGGAGGAAATATTTTGGATCACCCATATACTCAGTTGGTCTCACATCAAATAATCTAGCTTCATCCTAAAACTAAGCAGGTTGCACACATACATGCCTACCTACAAACCTGCTCACATACACCATTTCTGTTGGAAGGCTATTCCTGAACATCTTTCTTCTCACAGGTAGAAACTTCTTCACATATCTAGCTCAAAAATATGTGCAAATTATACCTAGTCACTCTTCTGCTAACATTACTTCTTATCTACAATAGCCCTTTCCCTTACATGATCTTTACTCTGCTTTAATTACATAGACAGTGATCCTACCACTTCTAACACATTATTTGTCTAAAACGAAGTCTCAGAAAAATAGATTCCTCATTCCCTTAATCTTCCTAGCAGCCCTTCCTTGTACCTGTGCTAATTTTGGTTCATCTTTCTTTATCATGGTTGAACAGAAATGCATGCAGAATTTCAGATGAGGTTTTGCCAGGGCCTTGCATAATTACGCTGATATTTCTCCCTTTAAGAACATAAATACACAAATAAAGAAATAACCCCACTACTACGCATCTGGGTTCCTATTTAACTTCCCTTTTGCCCCACTGCATTGGTGCCTCAGCATCAGTTACTGATTAGTATGTCTTTGCTTGTTCACTCCATTGTGATTTCCAACTGATGAGTCTCTACCTTGAGACAGAAATTCCTGTTAATAGTTCTTCAAGTTTGTGACTGTATGCTTTGCATCATGACAGGGTGCTAGACAATCTCATCTAGATTCCGTTTCCCACAAAAGGCTGGACCACATGGTCTTTTGAGGTCCCTTCCAGCCTTGGCTGTTCTACGATTCTGTGATTCCATGATTCTATGATTAATTATCACGGCATTTCTGTTCTCTTCTGCAAGGTCATGCAGTTTCTTTTGCATGGTATTTCAATCTTCATCTGTACTAACGGTTCCTTTGTATCCAAAGTCCTTACCAAAGACACTAAACAGGAGTGGTCTGTGATCAGTCCTTGAGAACGTGCACTTATAAACCATTCTTTAGCTTGACAGCTCCCTTTTCAAAAAAAACAGTTGCCATTTTCCTTCAGCTTGTTCTCTGGTTATTTTTCAATTCTTGTACTATTTCACATAATGTCCAGCTAAAGTAATTGTATCTTATATAGCATTGCATCAAATATTTAAGCAGAGTCTTGTTGCTTATTCCTTATCCTCAATTATTTTACCTAAGACAGATAACAAATCAGTACTCTCAAAACTTACTTTACAATGGGAAGACAAACCTTAATTGTTTATCCTAAGAGAGATTATTTATGAACCTTGTTTAAAATCTCAAGAGTTTTGACATTTTTGTAATATAGAATAATGAAAACATGACAACAAGTTCATTATGAGACAGTTAAAGGGGAAAGGTCTTCCAGATAACTGGAGACATCTATGCAGAGCTGAGTTCTGCATAGATGTCTCCAAATGGTCGGTGGTAGACTTAATTGGACAGTGCCCGGATGAGTGCAGCAAGCTATACTGGCAGTCTATAGAACTTACTAAACACATACAATAAAAACTCTTCTAATGCAGATTTAAAACAAACACACCTATTAGAGATATCATTCTCTATTTGGCTACATGAAGAAGCTGCTTCAGGATAAGCTGTGAAATCGAAGCACAGTAGTCATTCGGTACTAACTCCTCAAATGAATGTTTTCATCCTATACCAAGACAGCCCTTTGTGGTTTAGCTTATCCACTTCTGAAGATAACTATAATGACTCCCTTAGAGCAGACCAAACACATAACTAGTAGAGGACAGATTATTTGCAAAAGCTATGCCAGCGATTTCCAGCATAGTCAAGCCCTCACATTTGATGTCACGGTTTAAAAATTCTACAGTAGGAAAAAAAAATACTACTCTATTGTTATGGATTTTTCCATTGGAACTATCTAGAAAAAAAACCTGAATGAGTCCCAGAAAAGGAGCGTGCAGTCCCAGGCATGATTGTTACTATGGTTTCCTTATTAAGAATTATCCACTTCACGTTAGCCTGTAGCTATTCTTGAGTTAAATATTACCCAAGTCAGTAAGCGTAGTCCCACATGTCCTCTGAGCCAGCTGTAGGACTGTTTCTACTTCCAGTGAAATCGATGCAAACCGCACGTTTCCGCAAAGAATTAATCCAAATTCTTTCACTCCCTTATGGATGTGTGCCCACACCACATGCTGTATGTATGTGTAAAACGTTTCTCCAGTGACCACTTGACAGTAACCCAGGGCTTACAAACAGAAAACTCCTACTGTCCTATAAAGAGAATATCAGTAGTCTTCGTAACAGTAAATAAACCCAACACTTCTCCTGCTTATCAGACATGCTTCCTTCCTGTGACAGGACTTGTATCACTGCACTGATGGGAAGAAGAGAGAAGGGATTTTTTTTTTTTTAATGGTTGTTTTATCTATCACTTTCACTGAGGCAGAAATTCTAGACTGATTCACAGATGGAAACCCCAAATGCCATGCAGCAAAGCGTTCATCTATGGACAGGAAACAGTATGGGTTTTATAGGCTAGAGTAAAGGTTATGTCACTTTTAAGTACATTTTAAAAGACTGCACAGACACCTTCCTTAATATTCAGCTGACAAAACGAGCCACACATCAAAGCCTTTAATCACACACAGGGCATACCAGTGAAGTTCAATTTCTATAAGCTCCTACAGATTAGCCTTGTTCCTCTAATACCGATAACTGTAAGCGATGTTGTCACCAAGCTACGCAAGAACAGAAGGAAACAGGAAGAAGGAAAAAAAAAGTGGCATTTGAAATAAAATGATGAGAGAATACAAAGGGTACCGCAAGTACCAAATGTAGATGAGATCAGCAGGTATTGCAGCAGGAGCAGCAGGCGACAGTAAAAGGTACCAGGGAAAAGAACAGGAAGTCTGTAGAACAGGCTGTTCTAAATAGGTTTTTTAAAGGTGTATTCTTCGCAAGACTCTGGATGAGTACGTGAAGACACTTGCAAACGTTCACAGACATGAATCTAAAACATCAGTGGGAAGGAGTAAGACTTTCTAATCAGCTCTCTTGAGGTATAATAGTTGATCTTTGTTATATTCACACTAGCAGTTTTGGGAAGCTTGACTTTGTCTTTCTGTTGATTTTTTTACCTTTGGAGGCTAAAATTATCTTTTAAAAATATTTTTAAAATCTGACCCAACAACAGCTGAAAGAAATGAACAGACAAATAGCTGAATTGGACGCAGTCTGCTCCCAGAACGCATGCTTTTGTCTGTGGGTAAGTTTGCACTGAGCATTTTGCTTCTATTAGAGTCACAGAAAACACAAAAAGGAAATCCACACTAACCAAATCTAGACAAACTGTAACCTTCATTGTGAACCTAAGATGCAAAATCCAGCTTTCCTGGCAACCCCCACCTGCATTACGCATCCACAAACAAGACTGCAGTTCACAGTACTCCTCACATGAAGCACCATCTGAACATAGAAAAGATCTTCCCTATAGACCCATGTCAGAAAATCATGTGAATGTAATACACACCACATTCGCTGGGAACAAGTCAAAGTAACTGGAAGCTTTCTGAAGCTAGGATACATCAAACGGTATTTTAGCCACATATAGGTATGAAACATTTTTTGTGACGGTGTAATACCCTGCTGCAAAGGAGAGGTTTGGATTTAAAAAGAACTTTCTGTGGCTTCCTTAACAAACGGGCCTTTTCCTTTCTGTTCTCCTTTCTGGTTCCTTATTCACGTAACAATTATCCCAGGCTCCAGAAGATACTTTCAGTTTTGAAACTCTCTGTAAATCAATACCCTTATGAACAGCTCCTGCAAAGAGTGTAATCAGCCTGGATGCGTGTCGTTTGCTTAAGGATATGTAAGCCTGTGCTTTAACAGTCCATCACCCCTTTCAACCCATGATTCAGCTATGACATTAATTCTACAAATGTATCAGAATGTTTGGTTTATTTGGCTTGGGACCCGAATTGTGTTCACTTCTTTTGCTTGGGGTTCCCAGCTGTCTTTGAATATTAGTCACACAATATACTGTTTGTGCGAGATGCCTCGGTTAATCTATTAAACAGAAGAATGATGCATCAGGCCCTTTGGAAATAGTGCTGGGAAGAAAAGTGATGCAATAGACGAAGGAGGAAGAAGCAGCCAGGCCCTGGAGGGTTCAAAGCCCGCTGTTATTAATGGCCATGATGCGCAGGCTGGAGCTGCACCCTGCAGCTGTGGGAAGGAGCTGGTGGCAACGAGGGCCCCTGCGTGGCTCCCAGCCCTTCCAAGGAATAGCAGCGTAACCTCGCACTTCGGTTGCTGTTGCCAGCACACAACGTTGCTGTGAATTCAGCTGTCATCCCCTGTACACTCTGCACAGACATTATACAGTTAATGAACCCATAAACTCCAGTGCAGAAACAGTGGACTAAAGCTTGCATCACAGAACAAGAATAGTGCTTACTGGTGAAAAGTGTACAACAGAACTTGGACTACCAAATGATACGCTGGAGCCAGTTTCTAGACAGAGGTTTAGAAGAATAAATGTTTAAGGAGGACAATTTTACACAGGGAACTAGACTTCTACTTCTAGAAGGAAGCATGTGTAGGACAAAAATCTTTAGACGAATTCTGCTGGGATGGATTGTCTTGGACAAGGTGGTTGATCTTTCCTTCCATTTTCAAGGGTCTGCAGATCTCCATAGGAGAGACCATGCTTTTGCACCAGCCCTGACCTCCACCAGCTACTTTCTATTCCCAGCCTCAGACCAGTTGCACATGCCTAGTTAAGAAACGTGATACATCCTCTCTCGCTCTCCCTCCATCCTAAGCTATAATGAATTTTCCCAGAGTGAATGTTGTTTGTTTCCACTACGCTCCTCCTTCTCCGTTATACCTCTACTCTGCCCAAATTGCAGAGTGGCATTCAGGGCCTGATGGAATCCAGGTGGGTGGATGAAGATGCTTAAGATAGCTTCCTTTCTTAAGGGTGACACGCAGAATCGTACCGAGGACATTATCCAAAATGCATATTTTGAAGTGTCCCAAAACTTTCATGTTCCTCGGCAGGGCCTGCACACATCTTTGCGGGATGACGCAGTCCTTACAGGACCATAAGAAACTTTGAAGACTGCATTGAGGCTGTAGATGGCTTCTGCAAATGCCGGAAAATTCTCTTGGGAACAACCTAACAAAAACTTTTAAAGAAACCAACAGCTCATGCCTGTTATCTTGAGTTTCTAGCCTAAGACAATAGCATGAGAGGGCCCTTCAGAAGGCAGCTGACTACACAGTTTCAATTCTATCTTAGCAGCCATCAGCAAGGCATCATTCCACCAATGAAGCTAAAAAAAAACAACAACAAAAAATCTTTCAGACATTTCAGATCATATTCTGCTGATAAATGCTATGGTCCCAGTGAGGGCAGAAATTAATCCCCCAAGCTGAACTGAAAAAAATCCAAATGCTGAAGTGAGAGAGCTGGCAAAGGGGTGGAGCTTTTTATTATCCAAAGGTGCTCTTTGACTGGGAAATACTGTGAGGAAAACTGTCTTTGCTGGATCGGAGACTACGGCATTCATATTTCTATAGCTTGACACTACTAAGAATCTTCAGAGAAAGTAAACACGTTTTTCTGTACATTTCTCACTAACATTGTCATAATTCTTCCTTTTTGTTAAAAAAGAAAAAAGTTTAAGAAAACATAATCTTTTTCTTGCAAGAAGTTATCAAACTTCTTTAGTGTGGCCATAGAACAAAACGCTTAGCTAAACTCTATTTCTTCTATCCACAGACATAATTTACCAGAAGCAATACGCAAGATGAAGGATGAGGATACTTTTTAAATTTCCAGTGGGTGCATTAAAATGGTAAATTTTAAAATCTGCTTTTTAAAACAAAGTGTAGAACCAACAAACGCTGTTTTGCTTTTCTTCCACACAGAGCAGACAATCATCATTAGAAACTGGCCAAGCCGTATTTTAGGATATAAAACATTCCAAGAACTATGGCTGGCAGGGCTGATGATTGGGGATATTAAAGAAATGAAGACTGCGAAAACTCATTTGTTACACACACTTCAAAAGAGAAACCAATGAAGAAGTGATAAGCAAATAATAAAACAACTGACAGGAAGATTAGCATTAGACTTTGGATTTGACCAGTAAAGAAAAAGTAGAGACGTTATAAAGACACCGATTATTGAAGAAGGTGGAGAACATCTTAAGATGGGACATCACTTTTATTAACCAAACCTGTTTAGAGGGGAAAAAAAAAAAAATCCAGCAGCCAGCATGTGATATACACGGACGACAAGTGACAAAGGCTTACTGGCAGCGGACGTGTGGGAGAAAGGCATCCCAGCCCAAGGTCGGTACTTCTCCCTGTCTACATTCCATTGCGCGACGGTGGGCTGCACCGCACTTTAACATTTCTGAATGCAAAACTGTGGTTCGAAGATTCTACCAAATACGAAGTTGCAGTTCAAATTGTCTTTTTTCCATACTGGTGTTTTCCTGAGATTCAGAAGGCTATAACACCTCGACGCGGAGAAGAGCTGCATGGTCAAATCTAGCCCTCTTTGATGGAAGACCTGCACTGTAAGTAGGCAGTTCTTCAAATCTCCCGTTAATGGCACTTTCACACATCACATTTCAGTGTGATTGAGGAGAGCTCTCATCTTGGCAGGCAGCTGGCGAGTGCATCAGGCCTTGGTACGGTCACAAAGTTCATGGTGCAGTGCAACAGTGGACAGATCTTTTCATGATCCTTCAACACTTCACTCAAGTGTTTCATTTCATCTGTTAGCTTTCCGATTTCTCTTTTCAGGGAGGTATTTTCTTGCTCAAGAGACTCATATTCCTGGAAGGAGAAAAGAAAAAAAAAATGCCTACTCTTAGTCAAAACATTCCTTTCAGTGCTTCCACCTTGAGTATATTCATGTAACTGTAGAAAAACTGCGTGGTTTCTTATTACAATGTGCAAAATGCTAAGGTAAGACAGACACAGCCTGGGTGCTGGAACAGGGCAAGAGCTCTACAACCTGTGCCCTGCCCATGCTGCGATCCCTTTCGTGGCCCCGAAGACCAGGAGGTGCCGCTGACCCCCGGGGGTCCCCAGCAGCCCAGGGCTGCAGGTGCGGGTGGCTGCAGCCTGCCATGGCCTCTTCCTGCCCTGGGCCAGGCCACCTCTGCTGGGAAGGTGCCCAGCAGGGCAGCTCTGCACCATCAGAGCAGAGAAAATGAAAACACCGAGCACAGGTAGGTGCCCAGAGAACCTGGTGCCTGGCATTCCAGGTGAGGAAAGGGCAGCCTCTGCCCCAGCCCATTGTGGAGAGAGGCCGTTTTGCAGAATCATAGAATCATTCAGGCTGGAAAAGACCTCTAAGGTCATCAAGTCCAACCATCAACCCATCACCACCATGCCTGCTAAAGTTTACCCAGGTGCGGCAGAGACGCCCACCGAGCACAAGGCGCCCGGTGCCAGCCACGCTCCTCCAGCCCGGCCGGGGCTCGTAGCCCCCTGCTCTGCTCGGATGCCCGGGGACTCAAGAGGG